ATTCATGCAGGCTAGTCTGCTTTTCCTGATAGTCTCGGACATCTTATAAAAACTATCAGTATTTGAGATCAGTGGCACGGTACTATCTGATAACATAATATCAAGAATACATTGCTGGTTATAACATCTTCCGTGTTATCAGCGCAATTTATATATATATCTATGTATGTATGTATGTATGTATGTATATTTTATATCACATAATATATATATATATATGTATGTATGTATATTTTATATCACATATATACATGCATATATACACGTATAATAATCCCATTTTAAGGGGCGTATTAATAGTAATACTACCTTACATTGTCCTCATTACATATCTTTTGCATGGTCTGGCTTGTGCAGCATGTACTCATTTGACTACTGTTCACATCTTCTACTCGACCATTTCTTCAGGCCTAAGAACCGTTTGTGTCAGCGGGCTTTATGAGTCCTCCAGTGAACAATACCACTTTTCCCGCGTCTAAACGTTATCGAGGATCCAATGATATTACAAATAGTTTGGGGCCACCCGAGATGGACGCCCTTACTACATTCATACGCGAAGATGTCAATTCTGACATCGCTTGAGGTCAGGCGCATTTTTTCCCGATCGCCACAGCCTTGAACTTCTCCCTACTTATAGATTTTATGCCTGATCAATCTAGTCTTCCTTTAAATATAAAAGAATCATACCTATTTCGATTCATTGCAACGAGAAAGTTTTGGTTTTCTTATTTAATCGCCCTGCTTTCATTGACGTGGATATGATGCTCATGTTCTATATCAAACATAATTATCTACATCACATCGAAAATTGCAAACGCCCAATATAAATGTGATCAACCGAGTATGATTCTACATTGCAGTTGTCTCATCTAGCCAATCAACAATATTCTTTTAAACGATGACAATTTTCCAATACAATAGTACTCTATATCAAGCAGTCGAGGGTTTTTAACACGCGCATAATAATTCAATTAGAATATATTTGTGGCAACGGACTACATGAGTTCTTCCGTGAAATATACCAGTTTTATCGCGTTTAACTGTGATCGAGAATCCAATGATATTGTAATTGTTCGTGGCGACACCTGAGGTCGACACTCTTTATTACTATAATTATACGCCCAGCTATCAATTCTGCCACCGCATGCAGGCGCGTTTTTTCCTCGATCGCCACAACATTGGACTTTTCCATGCTTATAGACTATGCCTGTTCAATCTAGTGTTCCATTAAATGTCAACGTATCAGAACCGTTTCAATTCATATCTCGATAGTGTTATTTTCTAGGTAGGTGGGTACATTCACTCCGCTGTCATCCAGGTAGGTATGGTGTTTATGTTCGAAATCAAATGAACACAAGTATCTACAAAACGTCAAAAACTGCAAACGCTCAATATGAATATGATCAGCCGAGTATGATTATACATTGTAATAGACCTATCCAAAGTTCTATCTTCAGAGAAAGTGACGCTTAGTGGGTTTTGGGCGCCACATTCAGAACCGCTTTATAAGATAATATGCAGCAAACAGACACATACCGAGGATACATATTGAGGATTCGTAGGGTGTTTGCCAACATGGATATTCAAGAGTATCCCATCAAAGAAGAAGAAATATCGGTTGCAAACAGAATCTGTTTTGTTGACGCAGCATCACTGATTCATCTCGCCATCGTGCTCTGTGCTAGGAACAACCCATCCAATTTAAAACGAATAACGAGCAGTATACATGATAGAGGATCAGTAGGTTGTACACCAGAGCTTACAAAACCCATAGTGTCAGTACTTAATCTCGCTTACAATACATTCACAACCACACTATCTTGTATGCCTTACTTCGTTTTCGAGGGGAACACGCCGCCTGTGAAGCGTGCTGAAAGAGCAAAAAGAAACATGAGAACGCGAGAATCATACACACTCTGGAAGTCTCTGCCCGATAGTCACCGGGGAAGTGTGAATGGGTTAAAATTGCTCGGAGAAGCTTTAATCGAAGAACTTATGAAATCAGAATTAGTCTGGGGCTTTGTGCAGAGATGCAATTTGACAAAATGCGTCAACGTGATAATGACGTTTTCGTGACAAGCTGACCCGATTCAATGTATGTATATTTACAAAAGAAGAGCGAAAGATTTCTTTTAAGAAGTTGGTGTCAAGCGTTGATGATAAGCTCAGAGTTAAACGCTGTTTTATTTCTTTCTTATCTGATGTTTAAAGGGTGTGATTATACCTCTCACCTGCAATTTAAAGGTGATCCATTGTGCGGAAAGAGAATGAACGTTTTTATGGCTCTGGTGAAGGCCTACATAGTTATTAAGAATGCTTCTGACACGCAGAGTATACTCGATTCCCTGCGTATAGCTTTTGGTAGAAGGCGATGAGTCATATGAGAGCGCGAGAAGCATACACACTCTGAACGTCTTTGCCCGATAATAACCGGGAAAGTGTGAATGGGTTAAAATCGCTCGGAGAAGCTTTAATCAAAGAACTTATGAAATCAGAATTAGTCTGGGGCTTTGTGCAGAGATGCAATTTGACAAAATGCGTCAGCGTGATAATGATGTTTTCGTGGCAAGCCGGCCCGATTCAATGTATGTATATTTACGCGAGAAGAGCGAAAGATTTCTTTTATGAAGTAAGTGTCAAGCGATGACGATAATATAAGTTCAGAATTAAACTATGTTTTATTTCTTTCTTATGTGATGTAAAGGGTGTGATTATACCTCTCGCCTGCAATTTAAAGGTGATCCATCGTGCGGAAAGAGAATGAACGTTTTTATGGCTCTGGTGAAGGCCTACATAGTTGTTAAGAATGCTTCTGACACGCAGAGTACACTCGATTCCCTGCGTATAACTCTTGGTAGAAGGTGACGAGTCATTCCGGTATGCCTTGCACAGTTTTCATGATGCATGGATGCTCACATTCACTGGACTTAAATGCATTTCATTATCTGGTGAAAAAGATGTGCCAGAAAACGACGTATTCTTCCCCGGTTCTAAACAAGAAGCAACGCTAGTACAAGCTTATTCAGATGGCACATACAATCCTTTCGTACAACAACATCAACCCTCAGTCACGCTTGAGATATAACACCACTTCCGCAAATATGTAATTATACAAATGCACATTTTGTTGGTATAGCTTGGCAAAAATTGCTTTTTGTAAATCGTAACAGCTACCTATCAGAAAGTTGAACAGCGCGTAGCCACACATGGTGCGAGTGCAGATGATGAACTAATAAACAATACAGCCACAGTCGGTTATAAGATCCGTTTTTCAGCAGTATCCTTGGAAGCCGCAATTTTGTTTATTGCAAACATACCGAGATCGATGAAAAACTTGTTGATGGTGGCGCATACCAATGTGCGCACTACAAAGCACTAGTATGGGCTGTATGCATGCAAGCCGGTTTTGGACGCAAATTTCCAGACATGATGTGTTTCG